TTCTTTTACAGTTATAACTACTGTTTTGATCTCAGTATCATAGACTATATGGGAATGTTTCTAAGAAAATCAGGTTTTGAAAAAATTTTGACTAATATTAAAAACTTAATATATTTTAATCTAATAACTTCAAAAACTAAAATGCAATAAAAATCTTAATTTGCTAAAAAATTCTCAGAACCTGATTTTTCTAGCAATCAACCCATATTAGGTTGTATTTTATATAATCATTTTGGAGTATTATAGGGATGTAGCTAGTTATAATACTACACATTATTATTGTATTTTCTTTTTCATTGAATTTGAAATAATAATATTATAGTAGCATAAGGATCGAGTACTTTTCTCAGTAAATTTTTTAGCTAAAAGAAGAAAATAAGAAAGAATATTAGTGGAATTTACTAAATAAATTCAAAATATGCTAAATTAGATAAAGAAAATAATAAACTTCAACCAATCGTTAAAAATAGTCATATACAATGATAATAGATCTTTGACAATTTTCTTCATTTATTTTGCTATTTCTAATGAATAGTATAGGTAATCACTGAGAATTTAGAGTAAAGATCGCCTTTCGTATTTCACAATTCATTGGTTATTTTTTTTAAACAAATACTTTGTGGCCTTTACTCACTAAGCTATTTTCTAATAAATAATAAATAATATTAAATTATTAATTCAAATAGACTCAAATTTAAAATATATTCTATTTACTTACATCATATACTCAATTATTATTATGAATTTATCACAGCTCTAAAGAGTTATTTTCACTTTTCTTAATTCTTTGAGCTAACCAATATAAATTATGGAGGATTTTCAACCGATTCATAAGTTGATCAACAGAAGGCTGAAAATTCAGAGCTAAGGATTTTCATAATTCTAGAATCAGATTATAATATAATGCAGTATTTTTCTCACTATTAAAAGATTTATCATAGTCTAAATTATCCTTTGAGCTAATGGTTTTCAAAACTGCCTTCATTTTAGCCTAAATACAAAAAGTAAAAAAAAAATCAGCTAAAAATTTAAATTATTTAGATATAAATTTAAACATATTTTAGCTCTTACATTAGCCTCTTTTGTTGTCAAATTATCATTATCCTTAAAATTGTTTTACGTCGATTTTAATTCATTATTAGTATAATGCACTGACTTTTTTTCTTTTGATTTTAATGCCGATTTTTTATTTTTTTTCATTTTATAGGAGGATTGACATCAGACTGCTTCAATGATCTAGGCAGTCATAATCTCTCAAATCAGTTAAGTCTTAAATATTAAAAAAGAAAATTAGTTATTGTAAATATAAAATATTAATATACAAATTTTTACCTCTCCTGTAAATCTTCATTTTCCTTGCTGAATTCCTCATTTATTTTAGCAAGAAATTGGTTATTTCTCAAGAGATCAAAATTTTGTCGCTCTAATTTCTTGATTCTCTTGGTAAATTCAGCAAGTTTTCTTTTTAACTTTTGATTCTTTATGTAGAAATAAAGAAAATATATTATTAATTATAAAATAATGAATGAAAATAAATCAAAAATAATATATCTGATTTTAAATTATCAGAATTATTGATAATCTTAACTTTAGTTATAGCTAAAGTACTTATCATCGGTTATTATTAAAATTTGAATGAAAGCTAAATTTTTTTATATTATTTTTATATTTCTTCTATATTTACTTTTATAATTTTGAAAAGTTATTTAGTATTAATATAATAATAGTATATTATAATTAATTTTCTTTCTAAAAAATTTAGCTTAAATGATTTTGTGTAAACATATTATCTTTTTTCTATTATAAAAAAATAAAAAATAATCAGTTTATTGTTTAAATTTAAAATAATTTATTGCTTGATAAAATTTAACTTACTTTTAGCTCTTCTTTAGCTAATTTTGATTTTTGAAGTATTTTTATGATTTTAGTTACAATTGTATTTCTATTATAAAAAGTAATAAAATAATTTATCATTTAAAAGGTAGCTGATTTATTAATAAAATTTAACTTATATTCTAACTTTTTTAAGCTAATTTTTTGTTATTATTAGCATTTAAGTTAACTTTATAATTGATTAATAATACTAAATAAAATACAACTATTAAAAGTAATAGAAAAATAACTGATATAAAGTATTCAAAGAAAAAATTAATTTTAAAAGGATTGAATATGAAAATTCTAATAATAATAATGATGAAATTTTATCAGAAGATTTTAAAGTAAATAGAATAAGAATATTTGTTTATTTTTTAATTTAAAATTTTTTTAATTGAATAGTATTAAAATTTTGTTATATTGATTTGAATAAATAAATAAATTTCAAAATAATATTAAAGGTTATATAAATAATAATAAAAGTATATTAAGTAAAAAATAATAATTAAATATATGTTTAACCTTTACATCCTTTATAAAATAGTTTGGATTGCATATATATAATTATTTTTTTTTTTAAAATATTAAATATTTTTAATATAAAATATAGATTATAATAATTAATTTCTAAATTAAAATAATTAAATATAAAAAATAAATTATTATATTTAAAAAAATACAAAATAGATAGTTATTATTAAAGATTATATTTATTATAAAGTTATTTAAAGGTAAGGTATATCTATGATTTCATGTACTTTATTAAAAGAATATTGTTGATATTTAAATAGATTTGATATTATATTTAATTGATATATCTAATAATAATTTACTTTGGGTTTTACTTTTATATTATTTATTTTTTTGAATATTTCATAAAAAGGCAGCAGTATAAAACGTAAATAATAAGAATCTATACTAAATAATATATTAAATGAATTTTTTTTTATTATTAATTAGTTTTTATGATTTTTAGATATATAATTTCTATAAACTATTGATAATTTCAAGAATCATTTACTTATGTGAGAGACTTTTTTTCAGTCATTTGTGCTTGATATTTTTTACGTTATTAAAATATAAACATCAAATCATTGATAGATAGAATGAATAAATTTTATAATAAATAAAAATGTATTTGAAAGTTATTCCGGATTTTGTTTATATTTATATTTTTTTTTTAAAAAAAAAAAAAAAGGTTGATTATTTAGCAAATATGTAAACCTATACATGGAATAAGATTTGTAAAGCTCATAATCGCACAAATACATCTTAAAATTAGACAAGAACACGCAAATTATTGTACAAAAATAACTGTTTCGCTTTAAGGAGAAGGGCCTTTTTTGCAGCAGCAATTCCAACGATTCATTGACAAAATTCGTTAACAATGAAATAATTTTTTTTTTTTAGTTTTGAACAAGCAAGAAATCTAAAAATAATGGAAAAGTATATATACATGTAAAGACTTTTTACCGAAAAATAACTTTACGCGTCTTGTAAATATTACAGTATTATTAACATCAGAGTTAATGTGATGAATATCAACTGATTTGAAATTTGTTGACAGGCAAAGACAATGGGTTCACATACCTCAGCGAGCAATAATTAATACCAAGTTGAATCCTAAATATGAATTACTAAGAGTTCGTTAAATCCTCAAAAGTAAATTAAAGTTATTAAGAAATTAAAATAGATCATACATTATTATTTTCGTATAATAATAATGTTAGAATATCACATGAAGAAACTCTTTAGAAGAAATTGTTGAAGAATCCATTTTTTAATCCATTTCAATATTTCAATAAATTAAATTTAATTAGGAATCAATGGAAAGGTTTAAATGAAAGATTGAATTAGGATATGGATGCAGAATGGAATTGAAAGAGCATCAATTGTGAATTCATCGCTTTATAGGGAAAAGGTCGAATATACGTCACGTGAAGCTTGGGATGGCTAATAAAAATTTCTTTATAATATTTGAATTATCACCTGAAAGGTAGTTCATGAGATTGAATATCATATTAAATCACCTATTACCTTCAAACAATTTGGAGTTTGAAAAATATTTAGGTACCGACTGAAAATTTAGTCTTGAGATTCGAACAATAAAGGGGGAGGGAGGGATAATGCTTTGAGTATTTTACAAGAAAGATCATCCGAATATGAGGAAGTTATGAAAGCGACGAAAAATTTGGTGTATAGAATATCAAAATCGTGTTAACATATTTCAAAAATATAAATCGTTCGAATTTGAAACTTTACTATAGAATGAGATATTTTTACAATTATTGACATATGAGAAAAATGATGATTTCTTGAACTGTCAAATCATAGAAAGATAAAGAGAGAGAGATTCATGGACAATATCAACCGCCAAATATGTAACAATTTATTACAAATGTAACGTCAACGACGTGATTGTATTAGACACAAGTGTATCTTTAATTCTCACCTTTCGGATGATTTAGATGTTGAATTAGAAGCTTTAAAGGTTAAGAGAAATTTAATGAGGTTTATTGGATCTTAATCAAATTCCAGTTATATTATGGGAATACCTATCTAAGAGTTGAATCCATCACTATTGGAAATCACTTTTTCGAAGATCAAGTTAGAGAGTACTTGAATCAAGAAATAATGTCGAACTACCCTTAATATTTTAGCCTAGCCTGGCTTATGATTCTCATTATTATTATGTTATTAAAAAAAAATATTTCATTATAAAAATCTTAAGTCATCTCTTTAGTTTATATTCAAGAAAATCATCATGGTCCAACATTTTTTAAATATTATAACAAACAGGTTATATTGAAAAGAATTATAAAAAAATGTAGTATTTGTAAGGTTGAATTAAATATCGATATTATTTATTATTAATCAAATTACTTGTCGATCGTAACGGTAATTGTCCACAACTCCTCTTTTACTTTTTTTCTTTTGAGCGTTTCATTGTCCTTTTCGCTCCCCTCATCGTTTAATGCGATAACTTTTTTTCCTAACTTGTATTTATATTTAAATCAAATCAACACTTCAATAATGTATGATTATAATATCATTATTGCAAAAGTTATTCAACTCATTTTTCTCCTTAAACAATACCAAAAATTTTACTCTAATTTATTTTTTTTTTAAATGACGGCCGAAGAAGGCACCGACGAGGCCTTTTTGCTTTCTTCTAATTGTTTTAATTTTCTTTCTTTTCCTCCGAAACTAATTAATTGAAAAGTTAGAAATAAAAATTCATCTCAATCAAAATGTGTTTTTTTTTTTTTTTAAAAAAAAAAAAAATAAATATATACGTACTGATAATATTCTATATATCGATATCCTTGGAATATTTGTGCAATTTCATTGGTAAAGTGACACGCAAAGAGCAATGAATTTGAAGGTTTTACCATAACAGCAAAACGCATAAAGGTAGCAGAGTATATGATCATGGCTAAAGTAATTTCAAAAAAGGTTTAAAAAAATCTTCTTTTAAAAAAAAAGATTAAATGATTGGAAATAAAATGCATGTACCAGTTGTCATTTTTGGTGATATGATTTCAGGATCCTTCTTAGAATCAGCAATAGCAGCAAGAGGAAGTCCCCAGTTTGCAACTTCATTATCAAATCCAAAACAGTTAATAAATATTGAAATTCAAATTAAATCAATTTATTTAAAAACAAACCTGGTCCCCAAAAATGCTAATTAACAGAATTAAAAGAATTTAACGTTCAAAGAATAAGCAAAGTAACAAATAATGATAACGATAATGATAATAATAGGTATATATTATTATCTCAACCTTTAAAATAAATTAAATAATTACCGTGCTGAAAAAAAAAAAAATAGAATTTCAATAAAAATTTATATTGTTGATTAAATGATAAGTTCATATTTAAATTCTTTACCTCATAAGATATTCCCGGAATTCCTTGCTTTGAAGTTTTTGAAAGAGGCGTCCAACGTGAGAAGTCATAATAACTTAAATTACTTTTGCAAAGGAAAAAAAAAAACTATAAAATTACAAAAAGACAAAATAAAAATATATAGGTGCGTTACAAGAAATGCTATACTAGAAGGTACTAGCGACTTTTAATTTGGAAATGGGTCCGATAAGGGGTATTTTTAAAATTAATACTTTTGGTCGAACGCTTTATGGCAATTTTATGACGCTGAAGGAGTAAAAAAAAAAATTTTATTTTTTTTTTCTTTTAATGAGTAAAAATTCGGGTTAACCAAAAATAGTTAAATAAAATTTATGATAAAAACTACGTAATCATTATAATCACGCGAATTTTTTTGCTACTCTTGATTTAAAATAAAAGGCAAATCCTTTTTCCCCTTTCAAATAATATCTTTATTTCTGTCTTTCTTATAAAGTAACAATTATAACACGGATTTCTTGAATACGCATTATTCAAAATTTTTAATATTAAATTACTAGGATATATTCTATATCAACACTTACGACACCAACGTCCTTTATGGACTAACAACATCATCAGCTGGGGATTTTCCAACAGCATCAATAGCTGCAACGAACCTTTTACTAACAATTGATTTCCTTCCGTCTAAATTGTAAAATGGATTACAAACTTGATTGATATATACGGTATGAATTTTCCTAAACAACTGTATTCAAAAAAAGAAAAAAATTAATAGAAATGATCAATTGAGAACATTCTAATAAAGTTCAACATACATTCTTCATGTCTGTATTCTTAATTACGGCATCAGGAACCGAGAGAACCACCACAAATTTTACTCTAGTATTTGTTATATATCCATACCTAAATTACCAATAATTTAATGTTAACCCTTTTTTTTTTCAATTTACTTTAAGGAATAAAGATTTCATGGCTTACACAGCTAAATCTTCCATTGCGTATAATAACCCAAGGTAGGTATCAGCTGCTTCTGGTCCAGCGGCTCCAACTAATGATTTAATGCGTGTGAATTAGAACAAAAAAGGAGGAGACAAATCCCCAATCCATTTTCCTACCTCGTTCGTCAATGACATCACAAGATGTATGAGCAATATAATGATATTTTAAATCAGGATGTGATGCACTAAAATTTTTAATGTATAATGGATTATTCTTAACAAAAAATTCGAGACAAATTAGCATAAAATTTAAAGACGTCAACAGAAACCAAAGAAAGATTTTTTTTTTTTTACCTGTTTACCAATTATGGCGATACACTGAATTTTAATATTGTTCATTATTATTTAAAGCAAACGAAAATAAAAGAATAATTATTCACTTTTTTTTTAAAAAATTTTTTTTTTTTTATTTTCTTTCCGTTTTTTTTTGAAGAGAGTTTGAATGAAGTTTCATGCAAAAATTTTGTGGTACAAGTAACAGTCACAATCAACATAACTTAATATCCACTTTTGGAAAATCACGTTTAGTCATATGATTTACTTTTGACACAAATCGGCTAAATCCCCGACCCTTTATTTTGTGATCCCCATTCGGAGTACAAAAAAAGTCTCAGTTTTTCGCCTTAATAGAGATTGTTTTTGTTTCATTATTCATGTAAGATGCCCGTTGGAATTTAATAAACAGTGATTAGTTAAAGGTTTTACTCGTGTAATTAAGAAACAAGTTTCAATTGATGGTAATTTTCTTTGAGCACAAAATGACGGTTCGGATAATTATTCGAATTGGCGGAACACCCGACAAAACAAATTGGAATGTATTTGATAACGATTTTATTTTTAACTTGCTAGGTAATCACATCATTACCATATTTGAAGCATAGTTTATCTTATGTTATCCCACGTTGTTAACGATTGCGTGTATAGGGAACCCTGATAATCTTATATAATCCCCATTGGATGGTAAAACAATAAACAAAATAAACTGATGGAATCTTTATATTTAATAACTTGCATGAGTCTTGTCACTAGTTCGGAAAAAATTATAAAATTAAAAAGAAGATTCGAAAAGAGTTTTCCTTTTTTTGTTTTTTTTTTTTTTCCATAAAAACCCCATGAATCTTGTCAAGGATAAAAAAAAATAAGATGGGAATAAAACTTTCAAAATCGAATCATCCATCTGCCCAACATAATCCTACAAGAGCAATCAACTTTAAACGACGTTCAAGCAGAAGCACACACAGAAGCAGAATGATAAATTCAAAAGATGATTATGATGGTAGTAGTAAGAAAGAAGAGTTCAAATACGTTGACGGAAGAAGATACCATAATGTTTCAAATTTAAGGTATCATTTACCAAACGATGATATCGAAATTGATAGACTACAATTGCAACATTACTTGACGAGATATATCTGGCAATCCAATTATTCCGCCCCCGTGCATGATTTATTAGAACATGGAGGTAAAGGAGTTCGAGTGCTTGATGTAGGGTGAGCAACCTTAAAAAAAAAATTCTACAAAAAAAAAAAAAAAAAATCGAAAACATCAAATCAAATAAACGTTTTTCCCACCATTTTGACAGCTGCGGACCAGGAACGTGGATTTTAGAAATGGCATCGAGTTATCCAAAAACGGAAGATTTTCATGGGACAGACATTTCATCTTTATTTCCCAACGCGATTAAACCTGTTAATTCGTCATTTTCTCAACAAAACGTGTTGGAAGTCTTAAAATTTCCCGACAACCATTTTGATTTTGTCTACATGAGATTCCTTATGTTAGCACTCTCAAACGAACAATGGAAAAACGTTGTCATACCGGAACTGGTTCGCGTGACAAAAAAAGGTGGTTTCGTGGAAATCATGGAATGGGACGTGAATATTTACAATTCAGGTCCCATTACCAAAAGATTAATGAATTCGAGTAAGTATGATCTCTTTTACGATTTTTTAATTTTATGATAAATGAATGTTGGATTTCATTATTTCATTGACGCTTACATGTTTTTTTTTACTAAAAAAAAAAAAAAGTGATAGCAGATTTTAATTCTCGCAACATTGATGATCGTATCATAGACATGATACCAGAGTTCATGAAAGAAAGTCAGATGACGGATATCGAAAAAGATTTTCGTGACTGTCCACAGGGTCGTTACGCTGGTAAACTAGGTAGTTTAAATTTAGATAATGCGATAACCATCTTTCGCATGTATAAACCAAAGTTTTCTAAAGAGTATGGGATGACTTCTGAGGAATATGATCAATTAATTGAAGACTTCATTAAAGAAATGGACATTCACAAGTCTCATAACAAAACCTTAAGGTTTTGGGGTAAGAAACTTTGATATTTATCAACGCCACGATATTATCGTGTGATGTTTGACAAGAAAAATAAATGGCGTGATTTGATTTATAATAAATGTACAAGGATCAGAAAATCATTGACGTGTCAAAGATTTTTTTTTTTTTTTTTTTTTAACGATGGGGAAAAGTAAAAAAACATAAACGTGTCAAAGGTTCTATAGAAAGAGACATCAAAGGCCGGACGAAAATGTTAAAACGGGCCAAGCATTCTACATGTTGCACGTCAAACTGCGGAAACGAGTCTTGCCATATATGAATGTCAAATGCATATTATCAGACATCTATACGAATACTGATAAAAATCTTTGGTCTTAAACTTACCCCTGGTTTATATAATCAGATATTATATCTAAGAATTACTTAATAAAGCCTCAAATTAAATACGCACATGTGTGAGCAGTTTCTATAGAATTACGCCAGTTGTCTCATTTGTTAAATGAAATGAAAATTGTTTTTAGAAGCGCCTCTGAATCATGATCATAATTGAAGGGGACTTTTTTTATGATTTTTGAATCATTTGCAAACTTTTTCATCTATTCGTTTTTTGAATAGGGTGAATATGTGATGAACGGAATGCTTTTTTAAATATGAAAATCACCAATTCGAACTTTTTTTCCCTGCCATCTATTTGTGGTTTCACGTGCGAGCTGCAACTCTGCATTTTTTGTGATCTCCTTAATTGGTATAATTAAACGCTTCCCTACCCTTCAGGTACGACTTTAACACAACAAAATGAAAATTGAAGAACCAGAGAAAAAAAAAAAATTTTTTTTTTTTTTGTCTTGCTGTATGTTTATCAAATTAATTTATTTATTTATTTTCTTTTCTTTCTTTCTTTCATTTTTTTTTTTTTTAAGGTTTACCCTTACAAAGGAAAATACCATTAAAAAAATGGTCATTGGAACCATTTTCATTGTTTGAAACAAGTTTTTTTTATCAAAACGCCCACAGAACAGTGTGTTATATTAAAGGATAAAGGATTTTTGAAAAAAAAATTTAGGTTTGGCACGTGGGCAAAAAGGAACTTGTATTATTAATAACAAAATAACATATATGTAGGGTATTTATAGTATAAAATGAGAGAGTAAAATGAGTTAAAGTTCGAAGATGAATTCCTAATTTAAAAAATTTGATTTGACTTTCTTTTTTTTTTAAAAAAAATAAATAAATAAATAAATAAAATCGTATAAAAGGCACTCGTCATTTCACATACTTTTACGGGTAACAAATAACTTTTTTTTTTTTTTATCCTTTCTCAAATATTTTTAAATTTTTTCTCGAAAGATGGAAATGTGCAAATGCGTAGAATGTACGACGTCACGTGTAATGGACGTAAACTTTAAGAGAGATTTACAACACCTTGTGCTAACGTTATGTCGTATACTATACAACAATATACAAGAGGATTTCACTTGTAAAAGTTTTCAACGGATAAATCAAAAGATGTATCATGGGGATATATCCTGCATCGCAGATTTAAACCCTTTCATTGAATTATTTCGAACGGCGAAATACTTGCAATTTGAAACGGTCACTTTCAATTATTCAAGTAGTACCATCATCTTTAATTATCAATGGGATCCGAGGGATCATGATCTGAATTTAAATCATTTGATTGAGATATCGAAATATCATTATCAAAGTTTTTTACCTTTTATTTATAAAATTGATAAGTGGAGACGTCGTTCTTTGGAAAGTTTAACGACCTCCTCCATATTATCCCACTTTAAATATTATTTACCTGGGTTTAAATATCTCTACGATTTTCATTGGATTACTGATTCCTTGAATCTCTCCTTAACTTTCCCTCCCACTTGTCCTTCCGAGCGAGAACCTGGTATTTTGTTTTTGACTTCGGATGTTGGTGTGTCCGTCGTTGTGGTTATTAAAAGATATCATGAGGATTTGATGTACGAGTCTTCGTACGATTTGGCCAATGATCGTGATGATTATGTTGATTTGGTGAAAAAGTACAAGAAATATGCTGCGGAAAAACATGCGAATAAATTATTAACCGTCATTGGAGCCACTTACATCGAAGATCCGAACTGCCTTTATCCTTTTAAATTTGTGGACGAGATCGATTCTTCGATTGCAAGATCTGTTCAATTATCTTCCGGGTCTATATCCACATCATCACCGCTGAACATATATCAAGGTCCGATACATTTTTTTTTTTTTTAAAAAAAAAAGAAAAAAGAGAACGTTCAGCACATGTAATTTCTTTTTTCTTTTTTTTTTTTTTTGTTCTCATAGCTCCACGGCAAGAAACCGCAAAGTCGCATGATCCAAATACGACGATATATGGTCATTCATGGGCTCAGCCATCCGAACCGGCTCAAAAAGGTAACCAAGCTTGTAAAAATATCTCTCGAGAAAAAAAAAATCGAAAACGAAAATCCAGTCTAAAAATTTTTTCCTCATCTACAACGCATCTTGCAGTTCAAACATTGAAAATGCCAATGAATCCTGGGAAAAGTGCGCCAGTCGTTGGAGCGGATTGGGTATACGATAATACATGTGAAAACAATAATCTTGATGAATATAATTATTTGAATATCTCAAGTTACAATCATTATCAATCTTATTACGATTACACTTATTACTATTGAAAAGGACACACTAGTTTTTTATCGTTTCCTTTTTCCCTGATAAAATCTTATTGAAAGTGATTTGTATATTTTTTAGAATAGTTAATTTCCTTTATTTTATTTTATTTTATTTTATTTTTTTTGTAGAATAGCTTTCTTGTTTTTTTTTTGTATATATGCTGGTTCGGGTTGAAAATCTATATACGGACAAAATCTCTCGATCGGACCATATAAAAAAAGAAAAAGAGACGGAACGTGTATTTAGAGAGGATTGTCGGTACATTGCAAAAGCAATCTTACTTCACAATTTTTGTCGCGTCTTTTCCAAAATAATTTTTGATAAGCCTGCTGATTGGCAATGATTCCAATTTTTTTTTTTTTTTTTTAGTTCAAAAAAAGGAGAGAGATACCGTTTCAAAACCTACATAAAAAAAAATTTCAAACAATATAATATTTCTTGCATATACAAGCATCAAATACCGTAATATCATGATCCCTGAAATTTTTTTTTTTTTTGACTAACCCTCCTCCTCGTTATAGCCTTGATCTACCAAATGAATGATAAATGAATACAATAATGTAACGGGTTATACTAATTTTAGGAAAGAAAAAGGGACAAAACAAGGTGGGGCTCAATAAAAAAAATTTTATAAGAAAAATGGAAGGGCGTCTGACCTAAATTTATCTATTTATTTATTTCTCTTTTCCTTTCTTATCGGGATCCCATTGAAAATATCGAAAACAGGTTTTCAATAAGAATGTGTGTCACCTCACATATTTTTGACGCCTATTTTAGTCGGTTAATGATAATTCATTTCCCTAAATCAAAAAAAAAACCTGCAAGGAATAAACTTTTTACATGTTCCCGCCAAAAACCAAAAGGTTTTTTCTTCAATTTATATATGCGATCACGAATTATGATTAAATTACGATAATTGGACTTTCATAACAAATTTTGAAACCTCATTAATTAATTTTCTTATTAATTTGCATATAAGTAACTCATACCTAAGAATTTTATTTAAACCCTCAAAAAAATTCCCAACAAAGGTCAAAATTTGCAAATCGAAAAAAACTAAACATCATAAGTGGGATAAAGAAAAAGTTTGAGCTTAAAAGAGTAAAAAAAAAAAAATAATAATAATAAAAAAGATAAAATGATTTCCTTCTTGTCAAAGTTAAACAGTGATATATCAAACCTTTTAAAAGATTCGGATGGTTATGACGTATTGTTGGAAATCGGTCAAACAAAAGTACAAATATTTAGAGCACATTCAATCATATTAAGAGCAAGATGTTCATACTTTAAATCCGCCTTATCCAATGATTGGTGCAAAAAGGATGATGGAAACATAATCGTTTTCAAAAAACCAAATATTTTGCCAAATATTTTTAAAGTCATTTTAAAGTAGGTTACCTATTAAAGGTTTAAAACTTTAATTAAGCATGGGTGTTTTGATTATCGAATGAATTATTAAAAAAATTTTTTTCTTTCCCCTTCAGTTATTTATATACAGGAACTTTAGATCTTACCGATTTGACAACTTTCGAATTAATTCAATTGTTGGAGGCAACCGATGAATTAGCACTTGAAGAATTATTTTCTCACATACAAGAACATTTAATCACACATTCCTCCGATTACATCAAGCAAAATCCAAATATAGTAATAGACATAGCATTTAAGCATGACGCATTTACAACCCTTCAAACATTTTGCGTAGATTTGATAACACAAGATCCTCAACCGTTCTTCTCGTCCTCGTCTTTCGTATCAACGAATATATCGATTTTAACGGCGATTTTATCTAGAGATGATATTAGAATGGAGGAGGTTACGATATGGAACCAGATCATTCAATGGGGATTACATAATTCACACGCATACGTGGATAAAGATGATATCGAATTTGACCCTTTTGATGATGATGTCTCTTCAATAGATTTTACTTCGTTAAAGGCAACGTTATCCCCTTTGTTACCTTTAATAAGGTTTTCGGATATCGCTTCAAAAGATTACGAAACACAAGTCAAACCATTTCAATCGATTTTACCATTAAATATGTCAACTTTATTATGTAGATATCATTTTGAAAATAACAATGGTCTTGACCCCCCTATAAACTTAAATTTAGGTCAGAGAAAACCCCCTTACAATATTAATTCAACAATAATTAATCACAAACATGCGGCTCTAATCGCGAATTGGATTGATTCGAATGAGGGTAATTTAAACGTTAATGGTAAAATTCAATTCGGTAAGATAAGATTTAACCTCCTATATAGAGGGAGTAAACATCTATTCTCTTTTGAAAGGTTTCATAAAATGTGCGATAATCAAGGTCCGTCGATCGTTTTACTTAAAATTAAAGCTAATAATAACAATGAAGTGGAGGTTGACGGAAGGGAAGAAATTATTGGAGGTTATAATCCTGTTGGATGGCAAAGTGCGAATCAGTATATTACAAGGGATGACAGTTTTATTTTTAATTTAGGTGAATTAATCGAATCAAAATATATTTTAAGTAGAATACAACCAAATCTTAAAAATTATGCTATCTACGATGGTGAAAATTTTGGTCCAAGTTTCGGCAAAGGTGATATGGAATTTTCTTGTACCGCTAGACCAAGAGAAGGTTTTTGTAGGTGGAGATGTTATGACAAACCCATAAGAAATACTGAAGATCGATTTTGGGTAGAAGAAATTGAGGTTTTCAAAGTCATTCAATAATAATAATAATAATAATAACCAAAACAATTTACACCTGCCTGTCACTTGCTTTCTAATTGTTCACTCTCTGGATTAGGTTTATTCTTTGATTTATCTTTGGGCGTTGTAAAATCAAAACCAGACTGATATCATTAAAGAGTAAATTTGAATTAAATAAGTGAAGTTCCATCCAAACGATTGAATATTTTTTACAAGCAAATAAGAATATTATAAATAATAATAATAATAAGAATGATTATAATAATAATAATAATAATAATAATAATAATTACCTTTGATAAAAGACTCGCAACAGTATCACTCGGTTGTGCACCGACACTTAACCAATATTTAATTTTATCCGCATTTAATTCGATATTTTTAATTCCTTGTTTGTTTGGAATTGGATCATATAATCCCACTTTTTCTATATGTTTACCATCTCTTGGTGCTCTTGCATTAGCTACTACGATATGATAAAATGGTCGATTTCTCACTCCATGTCGTGCTAATCTAATCCGAACTACCATTATTGATAAAAAAAAAAAAAAAACAAAATAGATGAAATTGAATTTTTTTTTTTTTTTGATAAAATCTCGATTGTATCGTATTTATATTAGCCATGCCAATCATCATTTCTGATTCCATTAACAAATGATCGACAATAACCAGAAACTCTCATTCATACAAACAAAAAAGATAAAACCGGGAAAAAAAAAAAAAAAACTTTCAGTAAAGAAAATTCTGTAGAGGGGACTACCGGATTTGAACCAGTGACCTATCGATCTGCAGTCGATTGCTCTACCACTGAGCTAAATCCCCGATTTCATACGTTGCTTTTTAAAAGAAAAGCTTTTCAATATTTACGTAAATCGAAGGAATTCCTTGTTTAGGAAAGATGCAATTGCTGTTATTCCATGAACGAGTTTAACAATTCATTGAGATCCAAGGATAACAAGGATTAATCATTAAAGAAAAAGAACGTGAAAAAAATTAATAGTTATTATAATTTGTAGGTATCGTCATCATCTGTCCACTCGATTTATTGAGAGACATTTTTGAACGATTAGTTTTAACAATTTCCACCATCATTAATTAACAGTAATGTATTCTTTCTTTATTAATACTACTTGTTGATTATTCTTCAATAGAGATTTTAGCATTTTACCATTCAAGAAGATTAGAAAAACTGTTGTTTTCTTCTTTTCACCTCCGTCTGAATCATTAACAACGTAGTTTTTTTTTTTTATGGTATTGTTAAAAAGAAATTCATCATCTTCACTTGAAATACATACCAAGTATTATTGCATTTGGATGCTTTTGTTAAACCTTTCCATCTTATTATTCTGTGAGGGAACCTTTTCTTCTACTGAATTATCGCTAATTGGCGATATCTTGAACGACTTTAGACATGGTCTTCGACTTAACAATACCAATTCATCCAGGAATTCCCTGTAGTAATCTGATGCGGCTCCACTATTTTGATTATCATATGGGGGACTGTCTGAAAAATCAAATATGCTTTTGGTTTCCTGGCAGTTTTCCCGTTTCTATCCAACTGATGAATAGATTATTGCGTATCCATTATGATTATTTATGTGTTGGGATCCATCCTACGAACTACTTTCTTTCGTTTGCATGTGAAAAAATAGTAATGATTATTAAATTAAATCTCATTATGAAGTTAATCTAATTTTTTTTAAAAAAAAAACCGCAAATATAAATTAATTTTTTTTTTAAGTAAACGTTGTTTTAAAACAATCTTGGACGCATTTATTTATCTTTGCATGGTGGAAAAATAACTTTAGCTTTAAAGCACTAAAGAAAAAGATATACCGTTTATAACTCTTTCTTCTATACTGTCTGGTATGAACCGAACTCCCACGTGACCTACTATAATGCCGGTCAAAACTTGGTGGTAAATTAAACTATTATATTAACGATTAATTTTTTGATTCACCAAAATTTGTATCAACAAAAATTGAACAGGCTTAATATAAGCTAACCTTGTTCTATTTCTAAGACTATATATACTTCGGAAAGAATTTTAATATTTTAAGAAAAAATTTCAACCGAGACAAATCATGTTAGTGTAATAAATTCACGTGCCTGAGCTATCGAGAATTAAGAAATGTTTAAGGATTTCGGATGTCAGTTTTTATTTCCTTGTCGGGTGTGTAGCTTGTCGGGATTACAGAATCATGTGGTTCCTAGGAATCCTTATATCACTACACTCCTGTCGTACGAGGAAAATTTTATATTAAATATTATTAATTATATTTAATTTCTATTTACTAAAAATTTAAATATAGAATAAATTTTGATGTGCCCATAATTATTTTTGGAAAGTTTGTGCCAATTTCGGTGATAATCCAATGTTTTTTTTTTACAGCATTTAATAAATAGAACAACAATTAATTTTTAGTAAACAACGATTCTTTTTATTTGTGTTAAACACGTCTGATGATTTTTTTTTTTAAAAAAAAAAAAAAATACTGTATATGGGAGGGTTTCTAGGAAAATCAGGTTCCGAGAAATTTTTCACTTAAATTAAGAGCTTAATACATTTTAATCTAATAACATCTTTAACTAAAATGCAAAAAAATCTCAATCAACCGTATGGAGTTACGAAAATAGTAAATCATATGATTTGTAATAGCAAATCTCCCATATTTTAATTTTAGTTCTTAGTTTCCTTAATGGAATTCCTTTGTTGTTAAACAATATGAATTCTTAATATTATTTATTTAAGATCAAATAAAAATAAAATTAAATCAAAAATAGAAAAAAAAAAGAAAAAATTTCATTTTAATTATAATATCCTTTTTTTTTAAAATTAATTAGATTATATATTTGGAAATTTGGAAAATGATTTCCTGATTGAAATTACTGCAATTTTCTTCTACGGTATGATTGTCCCACCGGAAATTAAAAATATCCGTTATTACAATTGTATATTACAAAGGAGATATCATGCTTCCCGGCCTAAACTTAATCCTGTTAGTTTATCTTGGCTATCTATTTGATTGCGCTCAAGTATTTCTTCAATATAAAAAAATCTTCCTTATCGGGCAGTTAGTCGGACCGCTTCCCCCCCTTTATATTCTTTCTGATGATGTTTGCCAGAAATAATAGAAAATTTACGTGGCATGTTTGTGGAAAGATAAAATGTGGCGCGTTACTGAAAAGCGTGATATAATGAAAGATTAGCAATGTGTGAATAAATTGTTTATTCAAAAATTTATCACACGCGTCTGTTCATATTTTATCATTTGTATATTCTAATCGGATTGAAGAAAATCAATTTAGCGTAAAGAACAAAAAGATTTTATTTAAATTAAAACATTTTTTTTTTAAAAAAAAAAAAAATAAATAAAAAAAAATAACAATAACTCATTTAATCAATCATCTTCTAAACCACAAATACCACAACAACAATTTCCCCTAATAAATAAAATTGTAGGTATACAAACCAAATTACAACACCAACTATTCCATAAATCAGCGCATAACCCATTAGTTGTATTACAACCACAACATTCATAACTCCTTAAATTAAATTTCAAGTATTCTATCTCTCTCTTTCTTTTGGCTCTATTCAGTAACATTTCTTCATTTAAATTAATTTCATCGTCATCGTCATCATCATAAAATAGAAATTCACTTGAATCCTCCCGATAATTAGTAACATAATTTTCATTTCTCATCCTTGGCCTTCTCAATAGATCATTATCATGAATGACATTGTTGCTAGTATTAATGGATCTTGATAAGATGGGTAAAGGTAGATACCATAGTTGACCTGATCGCGTTGATGTGTCATCATTGACTTCATTCTGAAGATCATTTGTTGATTGATTTTTCCATAATAACCATAATCCTTCATCCGACTCTTGTGGGTTATGATTATTAGGATGTAAATCTGTTTCTTCCTCATCCTCAAACACTGTTCCTACTCCTATCTCTTCTTCTGAATAATATCCCAAAGTTGTTAACGGTGTGCCTATAGAGATTTGAAGAATGATCTTTAATAAATGAAATCATTCAACGAAAAAAAAAAAAAAAGAAAATCAAATTTAAAAAGTACAAACCATCAAAGTCCACCGTACTGGACCTTGTATGAGTTCTTTTATGATTTGACTTGAGTTCATTTAATTTCGTTTCTTTAAAAAGAAACTCAATTAATAACCAGTTGAGGATTAATCCAATCTATTTAAATAGATTTTTTTTTAGAAAAAAAATACACACACCTAGTAAATCAACGTGACGTTCCGAATCGGTCTGTAATTCCCAAGATACCCTACTACTCTTACGTGAATGCCTAGCATAATTGCTGGCAACGGGATGAGAAGGCGGTGGTGCTATTACGATATTATCATCCTTTTGTCGTTGATTCAATTCTTTCTTATATGGGTTCCATACTGCATCAATCTAATTCACATCATCAACACAACAATCATTTCGAAAATTTATTTTTATAAGTTTATTTTTAATTTATTTATTTATTTTTTTTAAAGACTTACGTTATTGGAATCACTTTCGTTTATAACGGTCGAAACTTTTTGCCAAAATACATCCTCGGTAGGATCGGGAAAGGCGCCTTCGCATTTTGTTGATATATTATTATTATTAT